CTATAACTGTCATCGAGAGGAAAGAAAAAAAACGTTCAATATGTGATGCGCACGTGTTATCGCGAATACTATTAAGCATGATACAAGCAGTCTGTATATGAAAAATAAAACTGTTAATAATCATGACAACAACCCTAAAAATTTTTTTTTCATACTTGTTTGAGATTCATCAAAATTTTGGGCTAGAGCCAGAGAAACTAACAAACAAATTATATGATTTGATAGAAGAGCTGATGCTCTATCCAACTGTGCTCAAATAAAAAAAATTCGATGTATTGCATAAATACAGCAAACGACACAAAACTAGCAAAAATAACGTAATCAACCTGTATAGTTATATATTTATAATCAGCTATTTATACGATTTTTTTTCTTGACCAAATGGTAAAGACATATATGACAATTAACAAAAAGAAGACAATTCAATGATAAGAAAAATTAAATAAATAAATATTTTTGTTTACGATGTCATTTACAAATTTACATTAGTTGCCATACCACTTAAATATTGAGCTAATTCGTTATTGTTGTATGACTGAACAAGCCGTTTGACCCTCTCGTCAAGTTTCCGATAGGAAGCTTTTTTCGTTTTGGTTCATGGCTTTGACGGATTTCTTCGATATCAATTTCAAATTTTGACTCCTCTCGACAAATTTTGTCGATCAACTTGGGAATTGTACGATGGGAAATAATTACATGATTTGCAAAGGCATTATGCCAACCTTCGATTGCGTTATTCGATCGAGGTAAGTCGACTGCGACGCGATCGTAGATATTCCATAATTCATGAATAAATTGTGGTCTTTTTCGACCAGCACCTCAACAAAGATTCAGTAATAAGCAATGAAATCCAATTACTAATATTCCCCTGTCTCTTGCGCTCTTCAATCCATGTTTTCTTCAAAATAATACATAAATTCGTCAGCGTCGTCATCGAATTCACTTTCAAGTAGTTCAAATGCTTTCACAACGTCTATAACAGGAACAAATGCTAGTACAGTCAATTTCTTTACATTTATATGAAAATACTTATCATCATGATACTTTCTTGTTAGACCATAACTCTGAATCGGCCTCCATACACACTGACCAAAATGAAACAGACAACCTGAAATAGGAATCAGCATGCTAGATGTTAGCACATTCAATATTTATATTTTTACCTTTGTGAAGAATATTCAGAAATAACGTATGCACAAGTAACGTTCATCGACATTGAATGTCGATTTACTTGGTCCTAGACTGACGGAATGATGACAATGATGTCCTTATATTTTTAAATAAAAATGAATTCTGTATAATGATGAGCTTAGAAGAAATTATTAATCTTTGTAACATGTTCTATATTACATACTATAGATATATACAAATACTTTAGATAAAATATTGAAAGATGCTAATGTATATGATAAAGTTTATACTTTAGTTAATTATAACGACTCAAAATTGTGATCTATGCCAAAGTAATGGATGTTTCTAATACGGGAATGGCCAATTGTGACACAGACATGCTCATTTGACCCATAAGAATGGTCAACTGTGCCATAGAAATTATTGATTGTGCCGTGGAAATGGCGAACTGAACCACAGAAACGGTCATTGGTATAATGAAAATGGCCAATTGTGTCAGATAAATGGTCCCCTGTACCACCAAAGCGGTACTTTTGTACCACGAAAATGGTCACTTGTACCATCACTATGGCACGTTGTACCACGAAAATGATCACTTGCACCATCACTATGATACTTTGTACAACAAAAATGGTCATTTGTACCAAGTGTTACAGACAGACAGACACAGATGAATTTCCGTTTCTAGATTCTAGACTGAAAGTCTAGGGAATGTATATATAACAGCTTCATTCGGCATATAATTCAATATTTCTTGTAATAAAAATGTAAAATTAAAGAAAAAAAGTAGTGTTGAAAATGAAACATACTGAGCGAATAGCAACAAAGAAGACGAAAAATAAGGGCGCCTGTCAGAAAATTAAAAACTTTGTGATTTTATAATATTTATATTGCATATTAGTATAATGAAGCTGAAGAATATACGTGAGTTCCAAATTTCAGCCCCAAAGGGGCTGCGCTAACAAGCTTTTTCTTTCAATTTATTGTTTGTCTTTATAAATCATTGGAGTTCAAGCTTCATAAAATGCATCATGTTTGTTATTAGACTGATTATTTATTGAATAAGCTATTTTTTTAATTCTTCTTTTCCAGCATTGTTTATCTTCTTCTATAATAAATGATTTATCAACATGAAATAAACATTGGTATTTCAAATCATAATGATGGTGTATTATTTCTAATTTTTTCATCTTTATCATCAGTAATTGATTTGTAATGTTATTTCAGACGTTTTTTAATTCCGACTTTTGTTTGACCGATATATGGTTTTCCACAATCACAGCTTATTTCATTGATTGATTGAAATATGATTGTAATTTATTTGGACAGGAGAAATATAGTCTGATATTTAATTTCTTTTCTAATTTTCTTTTTAACACTTCTGATCCTGGAACATAAGGTAAACATAAACTGTAATGGAGCTTTTGATTAATATTGTTTTGATTTGTTGTATTGTTAACATAGGAAATTAAATTAATGTTTTCACAAGCTTGTTTAATTAGTTTTTCAATGTCGTCTGGTGGATAATGATAATTTAATAACATTGCATTCAATTTTAACTCTTTCAGGACGGGATTGTTTTTGTCAAGCAAAACAATGAAACACGGAATTAATTTAAGTGAATTAATTTTTCTTTCTCATCAGCATTATTGATCTTTTCAAAGGCTGGTACGGCTTATATATATGTTGTCGGCACTAAATCATAGAACAATGTCAAGTACACAAATGATAATTAGTTCGCATCCCTAGATTTGAACTATTTCAGGACGAAAGACGCATACATGCGTCTCCCGCCCCGAAAGGATTAATAGATCTTCTTTCTGTCCTTGAAGATCTTCTACATTTTGTATTATTCTTGTTGCCATTTTTTTGACAAATTCACTGGCATAACTTTTTAATACATGTTCATTCATTGTTGTAATTATTAATATATCATTGATATATCGCCCAATTTTATTTTTGTCCACTTGATATAAGTGTTTTGTTGAATAATAATCCATATAGATATGCGCTAAAATTGATCGTAGTTTGTTACGCATTGGTAAACTTTTGTTTTGCTTGTAATATTTTCCATTGAATTGAAAATAACTGTTTCTTAGTGAAATGTAAAACGAATCTTTAATGTCCGTCTTGGTGAATAATGAGTTTTGCAACTTATTCATTTCATCAAGTTTTTTGATTGTAATATCCATGGCTTTTGTGACAGGAATATTTGTAAATAAGTCTTGAATATTGAAGCTTGCTAGCTTTTCATATTGATCAATGTTTAAATTGGAGACTTCTTTAACAAAATTAAATGTATTATTTACCACACCTTTTAATGTTGATCTTAATTCTTTAATATATTCAATAGATATTGAGATATTGGTGATATAATCGTGTTTCTTGAACATGCTACGATTCTTGTTGGTACATTAGTTCTATGTAGTTTCGTTTGGCTACGAATTTTTGGTAAATCATCATTTCACGTTAAGTGATATTTTGTATTTAGAGGTGTAAGCTAAGGTGCTGTCCGGCTGTGGCGCCAAATTTTTTTATTTGTTTTTAATACTCAGCGACGGCTCACTCAAATATTTAGGCTTCACAGTGGCGGCGACTTAAAAATAAAATTTTTTTGCTGCTGACGGCGGCGGTGGCTTCGGATCCTTCATTGCTTGCCGGCGTCGGCTGCAAAGTTAAAAAGGCATTACAGTTTCGTGAACAAGAAAAGGCTGTCAATTTTAATATCCTATCGTTCATATTTTCAAACAAATATGTGAAACAACTTTATTTTACATCTTGACTTAATAAATAAACTATATAAATAATATTGAGATGGACAATGGATGAAAAAAATAGAAATTCTTCAAAGAAGTAAATTACTAGAAAAAAATGTACAAAAAAAATACAATCTTAGGTCGGTTTGAATAAGCTATAATTATCATGGATCATCTGTATTTTACCAACATTCTCTGGTAATAACATTGTTCTTTTAGCATTGAGAATCAAGCGGTGTAGATGTAGCTGGAATAACAAGGACAATTTGAGCAAGACGTTTCAAATGAGAAAACATGTCGCTTGATAATTCCCAAAATTCAAGGACATCATCACATTTAACATCCAGCTTCAAATATTTTTCGATCTCATTTATGATGGGATCAGCAGCCGGCATTGTACTTGGTGTGTGCTTTTGGATTAAATTCTCACGAAGTTTTTTCAAATTTTATACCGAGTCGCTTAAATTTTCCACCGATAAATTACGTTTCGTATGAGACGATCATGTTGTTGTACGTGCAGTTGAATGAGAAGATATTGCAGGTGTTGAAATACTTTCTGTTGTAAATTCTTGTGGAACATTATAAATTCTAAACTTCTTAATCATCTTTAATAATGTTAACTCTTTTCTCGTTTGATTTTGAGTTAAATAACGACTAATATCACTTTTTAATTGTGATGGATCAAGTAGAAAAGCACAAATATTTAATGAAATCATCGGATATCTCTTGTTCAGGTTTTCGAACAGCAAAATTTTTAATTCTCGAATAGCTGGTGATTCCATTTCAGTAATATTTAACATAGATTCTATTTCCTATAATAAACATGAATGAATTAATTATATATTTCCAACTAAATGCTACAATATACTTATATCGTAACAGGTATACAGCTTTTCATTTCGAAAAGAAAAAGCGTTTCATGACTATAAAAATCTTTCTTGAGGGTGAACACTTATTTCTAGCTAACCTTAATTCATGATAGTTAATGGTTCGATTTTTAATACTTACCATTCGTAGCAATAAGTATAAATTCATAGTTGTAGAAGATTTTGATGCTGATTCCAGTAAACCAAGAAATTCAACTAAATCATAAATAACTTGATTTTCAGCAACTGACAATATTAAATCAAAATGTTTTAATCGACGTAACAAAAATTCAATACTAGATGTTTTCTATATATGAACGAAGCATAATTAAAATCGTATTCCAACGAAGTAACACACGTTTTTTTAAAGTATGAAATCTATCTGGATCTGTTTTGTTCATTGACATTAAAGAATTCGACTTTGTTGAACATTGAATTTGTTTAGAATTGGCTTGTAAATCATTGGATAATCACGATTCTTCTAAATCATTATTTATCATATTCTCGTTCAATGCTTCAAAATCTTCAAAATCAATATATGGTGAGGCTACATCAGCATCTAAAATTTCGCCAGCTTTATTTATTGTTGATAATAAATCATTGTTTATCATTTCATTTGATCGAAGAAATTCACATTCAAGTTCATGTTGATGATAACAAAGTGTATTAATGATCATTTGAACTTTATCTAATAAATCTGGTACGAAGTTCATTTCAGGAAAACAATCTGTCATCAACCAATTATGAATACCATAGCCAATACAAAATGTATGAATCACCTTCAATAATTTCCATGCTTTACGCATGTTCGAGCCTTGATCACAGACCTAGGCGAAGAAAAACCAAAACATAGCACAAATGTTTCATAAAAAATTTACCTCACCACAATTATATTATTCGAATTTAAACCAAATTCATGTAAAACAACTAGAAAAGGATCTTTTATAGCTTCACCTGTAAGTGATTCATCAAATGACTGTGTTTTTATACTATAATGGTGATATTGTAAATTTGAACCAAGAAAATGTATAGCGAAACAAATATATGAACTATGCTTATATTTGTCGCACCCCATATCACGTGTTATTGTAGGAAATCTTATTTATGATTTTAATAATTCTTTTGTTTTTTGATAACAAACATCATATATTTTATTGAGATTAACAGGGGATAATGTGGTGCGTGATGGAATTTCAGATTTTGAACTAATGACTTTGTTAGAAATCAAAAAATCTTCAAAACCTAAGCACGAACAAAATTAATGGACGTATAAAAATATCACAGAAAAGTTCTTACCTTCATTCTCAACAATAGAAAATGGTAGAAGATCTCTACAGCACATTAATGTTGCTTTAATTGTGAAGATTTTGTTGTACAACGATCTCGAGAAAACATGAAAAGAATATGTTGATTTGTTGTTGTTTTTTGTTGTAATTCTGTTACATGGTGCATTGCTAACAAATGATTTTTCATATTTCCCGTACCACTTGTATACCTATAAATGCCAATCAGCTTTTAACTGAAGCAAAACTATCATCAGGTTGTTCATTTTTTGATTTTTCAAGACAAATATTACAATAAACTTGTTCAGTATCTAACGGTTCATGTGGTTTTTTGTGCAAGTGGCCAAAATAATTCCAAACAAATGATAGTTTTGGTACATTAGGTGGTTTTATGTTAAAAAAAACATTTTTCTTTAAACTATTAATAATCGACATGTCGATTGAAAGACGAACCTAAAAACAGACACAAACAAACACCGAAATTATTAAAAAATAAAAAGCATCGACTATTTTACTAATATTGCAAAAACACCAGTGAAATTATTGACAAATGAAAAAAGTATACCAAAACCATTAATAAATAGAAAATCATGAAATTTTTTATAAGAAATACAACCAAGATTATTAATAAGTGAAATATCAATACAACCACCAAGAATATTAATACGTAAAAAACCAATACGACCACGATTATTCATAAATAAATAAAAGCACCTAATGGATAAAAGTTAGTTTGTTGTTTTATTTTGTTTTGTTATTCAAAATCGATAATGCTCGTCTCTTCTTTATATATATATATAATATAAAAAAGATATCAACAACTGAAATCATTTGTTAAAATTTCTAACCAATGCAGAGTTGAGGAAAATATGCTTAAAAAAATATCGATTTCTATGATAGGTATCGGCGGCGGCGGCGGCTCATAAATGTAAAAATTTTGGATACCATCGGCGGCGCAGCGTCTGCAATCAAATTACCTCAGCGGCGACGGCTTAAAAATTTTTAAAATTTCTACTGTCACAACGGCGGCGGCTCAGCCACACGGATTATACCTCTATTTGTATTTAATGTAATTTTGTCTTTATTAAATAATTTTGTGGCTTTTTTGCTAATTCGGTGATATAATCGATTTTTATCCATAATCACAATTTTTTCACATTTGTCTGTTTGAACGATTATGATATTTTCAATTGATTTAATTTCATGAAGTAACTTTTTTTCTTCTTTATTCATGTTTTGTATGAATGTGGAAATTTCTGATATCGCTGCATTCTTCATAATTGAAGGTGGTGAAAATAATGATTTTTCCCAGTTCACAATATTACTTATCATGTTCATTGATGTAGCAGTTGGGACGAACTTTAAATTTTTTGATAATCTTTGTATGTTTTTCGCTCAATAGAATATTTGAAATATTAATAACATTGTTGATCTCATATTTATTTTGAGATTTTCTTTTTGTTATTGTTGCTCGTTGTTTTAATTCGTATATTTCTTGCTTTTTCTATAAGACTTGTTACGTTAATTGTAAATCTGAAAAATACCTAAAGTAATAAAATAATTCTTTTAAAATTGACTTCCATAAAGAAGTCATGAATAAAACTTTACCAAGCACGATGATTCGTTTTCAATCCAGCTTGGACCATAACATACTCCATAATACGTAACTGCGTACGATTTTTTTTATTCTATTTTCGGTTATAAATTTGAAATAGTATTTTAATCGTCAGAATAACTGAATTTTACTCTAGTTTTGTGAAAAAGTTCCAAATCATAGTTTGAGCCTTTTCGTGATTGATTTTCAATACATATGAGTTCAGTATGTCGAAAATAATGTTTCACTAAGTACGATGATGCTTTGATTGCATTTTTCAGTTTGAAAATTCAAATGATATTTTGATCGTTAGAATGAATCCTTTTTCATCCGGTACGGTGAAAACATTCGAAACAATACTTCAAGGCTTTTCATCATTGATTTTCAATGCATCATAATTTATAATATTCCAAAGAATGTTCTTTGGAGTACGATAGTGTCTTTTCGATGCGTTTCACGTGGTACACTTCTCATATAATATCTAAAGTAGTTTAGGAATTGTTTTCAAATTAACTTGGGTCAAGAAGTTGTGAATAAAACTTTAGTTAGCACGTCGATTAATTTTCAATCCACGTTGGATCATCATATATTCAATAGTATGTGATTGCTACAGTTTTTTCTTCGATTCTCAGTTATAAATTTGAAATAATATTTTAATTGTTCAAATTAGTTCTTTTTCATCTAGTGCAGCGAAAACATCGGGAATCATGATTTAACGCTTTTGGTCATTAATTTTCAATGCATATCAGTTAATTATATACATATCTAGTGATGTTTGATTCAGTAGGATGATATTTTTGAGTGCCTTTTTGTGTTGGAAAGTAGGAATACTAGTTTAATCGTTAGAATAATTGCTTTTCTTTCTAGTTAAGTGAATATATTCGGAATAATAGTTCAAAGCTTTTGATTATTAATTTTCAATGCATCCCAGATCATTGTGTTCTAAATATTATGTTGTTGAGTATGGTGCCGCCTGTTTGATCAGTTTGACGTTGTAAAATTCTAGAACAACCTAAAGTATTGCAAGAATCGCTTTCAAATGGAACAACGTGAAGAAATTCTGAATAAAACTTTACCAAGCACGATGATTCATTTTCAATCCAACTTGGGTCATAATATACTCAATAATACATCATTGAGTACGGCTTTTTAATTCTATTTTGGGTTTTTAATTTAAACAATATTTAATCGCTAAAAAAAGTTGTTTTTGATTTGCTTGGCTGAAAAAATTCTGAAAAAGAGTTTAACAACTTTGATGATTGATTTGTAATGCATATCAGTGCAGTATATTCGAAATAATGTTTGACTGAGTACGATGGTGCTCTGCTTGCATTCTTGGGTTCGAAAGTTGAAATGATTTTCTAATCGTTAGAATGAATTCTTTTTCATCCAGTACGTGGAAAACATTGGGACTAATAGTTTAACGCTTTTGATCGTTAATTTTCGATACATCTCAGTCCATAATATTCCCAAGAGTGTATTTTTTGAGTAGGATACTGTCTTCTTGATCCACTTCAGGTTATAAAATTCTGAAAAATACGTAAAGTGGTAACAGAAATGTGTTTAAATTGTCTTACATGAAGAAGTTGTGAGAAAAACATTACCAACAACCATGTTTCATTTTCAAGTTACCTTGGGTCATAATATACTCAATAATACGTGATTGCGTACGATTTTATTCATTCTTTTGCCGGTTTTAACTATTAAATAATCGTTCAATGATTGGATGTAATCCTTTTTTTCTAGTTTGTTGAAAAGTTGGGAATTACAGTTTAAGACCTTTGGTGGTTGATTTTGCATGAATATTAGATGACTATATTCTAAATAATGTTTGATTGAGTACGATCATATTTTCACTGCATTTTTGGGCTAGAAACCTAGAATAATATTGTATTCGTTAGGAAGAATTCTTTTTAATCCAGTTCGGTGATAATATTCTGATTTTAATACTTCAACGTTTTTGATGATTCATTTTCAATGCATGTCAGTTCGTAATAGTCGAAAGAATGTTTTTTTTTAATAGGATCCCATGTTTTTTGATCTTTGAGATGGTAAAATTATGAAAAATGCCAAAAGTCGTAAAAAAAACGTTGTTTTGAAATTAATTTAGGTAAAGAAACTGTGAGTGAAACTTTACCAAGGACGATGATTCATTGTCAATCCACTTTGGGTCATAATATACTCAATAATAGGTGATTACGTACGATTTTGTTTCATTCTTTTTTGGGTTTTAATGTTTAAATAATAATTTAATGGTTGAATGTTATGTTTTTTTTATCTAGTTTGCTTAAATGTTGGGAATTGTAGTGTGAGGTTTTTGATGCTTAATTTTCGATGCATGTCAGGGCATAATATTCCAAAGAATTCTTTCATGAGTGCGAGCATTTGTTTTTATTCGACTGTGAATAATGAAAGTGGAAATAATATTTTGATAAATACGTTAGTTGCGTTATGATCCACTACATGTCATTGAATTCGAAACTATCGGTTTGTTAGTACGTTCCTTGTGTTTTAGTCTACATCGTTCAATTAAATATAAAATGATACTTCTGAAGCACGATGATATGTTATTAATGGACTTCTAGTGATGTATCTTCAAAAGGAGATTCTATAATATCATGATAATGTTGAATAGACTTTTGTTCATAAGATTATAAATAATCCCGCTGAAGTGCGATGATAACATTTGGTTCCACATCAAGTCATACAATTCAAAATAATGCTTCTCTACCATGATTATAGTTTTTAATGTACTTCTGGTCATAAGATATCAATTAATGCTTCTCAACTATGGCTGTTAGAGTTTTGTTTGTTTTCTATCATGAAATGCAAAAGACTTTTTTCATTGGTAAGATGATTCCGTTTTAGTTCGCTTCGGGTCGTGAAATTTGAAATAATTGTTGTATCAATATGATGATTATGCTTCACTTATGGTTGAGTGATGAAACGATAAATTGTGTAGGCGATTTTTTTTGTATATGCGCATCGATTAAGCTTCTCGAACAACGAGGTACAGAACAAGCAAAATAATAGTAGACATTGATAGAAAAAAAGTTTGATTAGAGAAAAAAATTGGTGATATAAAAACGTTGGTAAGAAAAAAATCAACGTACTTTTTGTCAACTTCATTCGCTGATGATTCATGTATACGGATCAATGCACAACGATCAAGCAGATTTCTGGATGTATATAAAGGGATGATTTTGCTTTAGTATTTCACACTTTAACAGCATCTTCATGATAAAGTGTCATTCGCATCGTGGTTGCTGAAACTTCGCGCACTGGTAAACATAGCCAAGGTATGTATTTTGATTTTGTCTTCATTATATGCTTGCTTCAGTTGTATATCATGTAGTAGTTAGATTGATCGGAGACGAATGTTAGAGGTGTTGTATTTCCGTAAATAAAGCTTGAAGAAATTGTTTTGATTTCATGTAGTGATAGTAGAAATGCTCCTGTTATTGCATGCTATTTGATTACTCTTCAAGTAATAACATAATAATAAAACTTCGATAAGAAGTGTTTTTGTATATAATTAAACGACAACATTAAATCATAATATCATCCATGTGTATTCTTTTTTGTCTTTGTTTTTTCTTTGTGCGTTCTAGCACTTAGTCATGCATGCAGACATTACACATCAAGGCACGTGCCTTGTTTGTTTTGTGTGCATGTCTCTTTTCTTGTTTATTTTCAAAATAGATAAAAAGGAAAAAGTTAAGTCACACTTGTATAGTGTTCACAAACAAATGATTCAATCAATGGATCCAACGAATCCAATTGTTTGTGAATAACCAACGTGTCCATTGTGAACGTTTGATGGGATAAATATCTCCTGAGCCTCTTTCTGTACTTTTTTCTGTTCTACCATTGTTATTTTTTTACATTCTAATATGCTTGAAAGAACAAAGCGTTGGTAGAGTCGAGAAAGAAAGGTGAAAAAGAAAGAGAGGAGACGAACAAATTGTTGAAATTTCATTATTATGATATTAGTTAAAGAGTAATGAAATAACACATAAAAATCATATATGTGAAACCTGAAACTTGAGTTCAAGTATTCAATTATTCATTTCAGGCATAGTTGAAGTTCAACTACTCAATTAT